GGAAGCAATAGCGAACTGGACAAGCATATTTTATTAAGTCGTCATAAAATAAGAAACAATTGCGCGGAGGTGAAGCTTACCGATCAAACAGAGCGGTCAATTGCAACCTGTCGAATTTAATAAGAAATCGTCGCCGCCAAAAGGGAAAGAGACGCACTCGATAGGCAATAGTGCACTGACGTCGACGCCTGCCTCCTCGCATCCCCTTCTGACCGCCCAGTCGTCCGCCTCTCGGTCGATGAGTGGAAAAAAGGGAGGCGACAGCAAGGACAGAATCGGGGGCGGAGTCAGCAATCAGCTCTCGAGACGCCATTACGCTGAGTCCACCCACAGAAGAGGCGAACCCCCCGCCTGCACTACCACCGCTACTGCTGGCAAGCGCTACGACTAAGAGGGAAGAAAAATGAGAAAGTAGACAGGAGCTAAGGCATACCTCATTTAATGTAGTTATTAATGAAAAGTAAACATGAGCACTAAGCATCATACGACCTCAAAATTTTATGACACCTATGGGGTTCACGCTAGTGCAGCCTACAGTGGGTATAAGTCATTCGTGATTCAGTCTAAACTCAAAATAATCTGCCCTCAGAGCGGTCTCTTGAGGTCAAAATCTCCTCTGTCATTCAAAACTTCAAATTTCCCTTAAATTTTACCACTTTCATATGTCTATTGCTAGAAAACCTTTGATAAATAATTTCTTCCGATTCCAGAGGCCTCCCATTGCAGATCATAATCAAAACCCAAGACCCGAAGGGAGCGTTAATGGCTTGAGGCGGACTCCTTCCATTACTAGCTGGCACAAAGTCAATGCCTACTACCCTTCCCCTGTGACATTTACACCTTAGCAAATACTCACTTCATTCGAAAGTCCTCTTTACAATGGAGGATGCGGAAATCGTATTTTTGCAAAGAGCAGAGGGTTTCTAGCGCATCTCAGTCCACTGCAATCAAACCAGTGCACACGTCAGTCCCTACTGTAAGCATCAAGAATATGAGCTCAATCGTACCCCTTCCATAAAAATACAAGGTTTACAAAGCGAAGTTTTATGCACAATTGTCCCTTTTGCACACCTGC